ACCCCCAAAAAAAAAAAAAAAAAAAGATAAGCAGCCATTAGCTAGGTAAGTTTTGGGGAGGAAACAAAGGTAGTTCTAGGAACACAAGCAGGCTGGCATGGCTATAATATGCAGAGTATGTAGAATGCAGCAAGGCAAAGCTATAGAGATAGGCAGGCAGCTTTAGAATTTGCAGACACATACAAGGGAACTTCAAAAAGTCTGTGACAAAGTGAAATTAAAGAACAAGTTTATTTTGGTGCAAAAAATATTTTGGGGGGGAGGAGAGATTTTTTGCTATAGGTGCATGTGCTCACTGGAGAGACAGAGAGACAGAAAGGAAGAAGTCACCCCCTAGGGGGGTATGGACATGCCACAATCCCTTCTCCTCCAGTTTCCTCTTGGGATTTTGGGCATGTACACACATGTGCCCGGTGTGGATTTTAAGCCACCGTGTCCGGGACTCAAATGGTGGTTGAGTATGTGGGAGTCCAGTGAGGTAACCCTTATGTCATCTGCTGGTCCCCAGGTACAAAACTTTTTAAATCCAACCATAGTCTGTAAAACATAATGCACATTTTCAATGAACTTTTTGAAGACCTCTAGTACTTTTTGTTTTGAAAAGCAAAAATGCAGGGAACCAGCAGTTAGCGTAATGGCTATGTCGCTGGACTCCCACGTAGTCGACCGCAGTTCACGTCCTGGACCCGGTGGCTTAAAACTCACGCCGGGCGCGTGTGTGTGCGTGCCCAAGATCCCAGGAGGAGAATGGAGGAGAAGGGATTGTGGCATGACCATCCCCCCTGGGGGGTGATTTCTCACTTTCAGTCTCTCCATCTCTCTCTGTCTGGCGAGCGCACACGCCCTATAGCAACAACCTCTCCAAAAAAAAAGCATAGGGCCAGTAGGTGGCATAATGGTTAAGGCAGTGGACTCCCACATGGCCAACCACGGTTCTTGTTCCAGACCTGGCAGCTTAAAAATCATGCCAGGAACATGTGTGTGGGCATGCCCAAAATCCTAAGAGGAGAATGGAAGAGAAGGGATTGCAGTGTGGCCATCCCCCCTGGGGGACGATTTCTCAATGTCCCTCTTCCCTGTCTCTCCAGTTAAGTGCACATGCCCTATGGAAAAAAAAAAAAAAAAACACACATAGAAATGGAGAAAAAATGATGAATCAGGAAGTATGGGTTCTAGTTTAAGTTTGGTCACTAGACTGAGTCTAAACGTTATATAAGTTGTTAATATTATCATTTTATGAATTTCCAAGTGAATATATTCCCCATGGTAAGTGACGTAAGGTACATTAGGAAGTTTCTGAGCTCTCTACCACCCTTGATGAAATATCACTTTTTCCTTCTGCTTCTTTACTCTTCTACTTTACCTCAGCATGTCATTTCTTTCTATTGCTTGTGGATTTTTAGGCAGAGACAGACTACAAATAGGCTTTAGAAAAGTAAAAAATAAAAAAAATAGGCTTTAGAAAAGTAAAAAATAAAAATGGAAATAATATACTCCTGCTCCACACTTAATGCTGTCAAACGCATCACTAATAACACCACACTGTTAAGTAAGAAGTTTGGAAAATGTAGCTGTCTCTATTTTTCAACCAAACGGCAAAATGGGTTTGAAGTATGAATTATTCAAACTACTGAAAGAAAGTTGCAAAGATAATCCAAGACATTGGAAAATCAAAAGACCTTTCTACTTACATTTGGAACATATGTGATTTTTTCCTCCTGCAGCTTTTTGCCTAGACTAATATTAAAATGAATTTACTTTCCTAAAGCACATATTGGCTGGGCAGCTGAAGGACACGCTCTATGCTACTTGGCAAGAGGAAACAGGCTTAGATTAAAATTTGGCCACTGAGCAGATAATCTGAACATAAATAAAGAATTCCTTATTCCAACCACCAGTCTTATGGTGAGCCCTGGGTTAAAAGATTCCACTTGTAATAAGACCTGCTCGCTTGGGTGAATTCAAAAACACAAAATGTGACTCATGCCATGAAATTTATCTTCTAACATTGCTCTTCCCATTAAGAAAAAAAGAAGCTAGAAGATAAGTTACCCAAAAAATTAGAAAAAAAAAAAAACCTGAACCTTCAAATTCAGAACTTCTCTACTACTAAATATGAACATAAATAATTTTGTTCATCAACATAAAAATAGCATACTATTTAACATTCACTCTCTGCTCCAACTTAGATTCAGAACTTGGTTAAAGGGAGCGTGTGCTTGCCAGAGAGAAACAGAGAAAGGGAAAGTGAGGAATTTCAAAGATGTCAAATTTTAAAGTTTATTATCTCACTTGAATACATAATCTTGAGTTTCAAGTTGTAAAACTCATATTTTCCTTTTCTTTGGGGGGGGGCACAGAAGAAACTAAAAAGACTTAAAAGTGGGGAGGCCACCAGAATGTGTAGTAGTTATATTGCTGAACTCCCACATGGCCCACTACAGTTCAAGTCCTGGACCTGGTGGCTTGAAAATCACACTGGGCACATATGTGTGCATGCCCAAGATACCAGGAGTAGAATGGGAGAGAAAGAATTGCAGTATGGCCATCCACCCTGAGGGGTGATTTCTCATTTTCCATCTCACTTTATCTCTCTCTGGTGACCACATGTGACTTATGGCAAAAATATCTAAAAAAAAAAAAAAATGTTGAGGTAACATCTATTAATGATATGATCCTTTTTATGCTCTCTAAAAGGTAGTATAAAAATTGTTTCCTTAGCTTTACTATCAAGTAGATTGTCATCCTTGGCAACAGACATCAGAATGCAGCTGGTTCCTATCTCTGTTCTCATTTCTAAGCATTTGGAGGTCTCATTCTGATCAATGAAACTTCATTAAAGAAATAGAAGAAAAGTTTCTACCAGAGTGGGATCTAATTTTTACATCAAAGGAATAACTCATATTTAGAATCCCTTAATTGTAGATATAAATATTAGCATCAATAGTATATGAGGGGTCTTTAAATAGTTCAAGGAAATTGTATATTATGAAAAAAAGTGCATAAATTTCAAAATTATTCTGTATTCAAATAAACTTGTACTTTAATTTTATTTTTCCATAAACTTCCTGAATCTAATTTTTACATCAAAGGAATAACTCATATTTAGAATCCCTTAATTGTAGATATAAATATTAGCATCAATAGTATATGAGGGGTCTTTAAATAGTTCAAGGAAATTGTATATTATGAAAAAAAGTGCATAAATTTCAAAATTATTCTGTATTCAAATAAACTTGTACTTTAATTTTATTTTTCCATAAACTTCCTGAAAAACCTGGTATAAGGTAGCCCAAACGTCTTAGCGTAATTTTAAGTTTTAATAACTTCAGAAGTACAGATGCTACAAACTGACTTAAAACCATAATTTGAAAGCCTAAGTTCTTAACTCGGATACTTGGTTCTGTGAATTCTAAGTAAGAAATTTTTCTCAGATCACTCTGGCCATACCTTAGCTTATTGAGCACTGAGTGGCCCCCAATAAAGCAAATCTCTTCCATGTGAGGCAACAACATTTTGTGTCTAAGGATCAAAGTTTCATCATCAATGCTGATGTTCCCAGGGCTCTCTTAGTCAGGCACGAAGAATGAAGCAGTGGCAACAGAAATAGAAATCTGGTGATATTAGATAAATAGATGATAGATAGCTGTCCACTAACAGCTTAGGCTGTGCTGTTCAGGGAATAAACATCTAGACAAAGAAAGAGGACCCTATCTCCTTTCCTTTCTTATTTATTTCTGGGAACCTAATTCCTGTTTTTGTTTTATAATTTGCCAGAGGGTTGCTGCACTCACTACAGAGAATGGGAGAGGGAGAGGCAGAAAGTACTCCTCAAGCGAGCATGGTCATGCCACAATTCCTCCTCTGCTTCTCCATCCTGTTGGGATTTGGGGCACGCATGCATATACACCTAGCATAGCGTGAATCTGTTTCATGGCATCCTGTGCAGTTAGCCTAAGATAATACATAAATAAATCCTGTATGTTTCTAGTTTGAAAAAATGTTGTCATAGCTTCTGGGTTAGTAACTGGGTAAGCAAACCTAAATATGGTCATATGCTTATAATATAACACACTTTGCCATAAAAGTGATATGAAGTTTCCACTAAGTATAGAATTTCACCCACTAGTCAGTTCCCTTGACAAGCTTCAGAAGTTTTCTCCTTGCAATCATCTACATACCTGGAAAGGCTCTCTGTACCAAAATTAGCACACTGAACTACCAGAGATGAGAGGGAACCAAGACTATGGGGCTGAAAATAGCTAGAACAATCTAAAATAAATCTGTTCCAAGAATAGATCAGTACTAATCAATGGGTCTAATAAACTAGTATAATCTGTAACTTCTTGGTCAATTAGAAGTATAGGTTATCTTCTAGGAAACAATGAATGTAAGTGATTTGAGAAGGAATTGTCATCCTTTTACCTTACAAGTTATTTACAGAGTTTGTTCACTGACAGAGTACCATCCCTCTATTTTAAAGTGAGCACTCTAGGGCCAGCCAGTGGCATAGTATTTAAAGTAGCTGGATTCCACATGGCTGACTTCACAGTTCAAGTCCTGGATTCAGTGGCTCAAAAAACATGCTAGGTATGTGTGCATGCCCAAAATCCCGAGAAGAAAATGGAGGAGAGGGGACTGTGGCATAGCTATCCTTCCTGCAGGTGCTTTCTCACTTTCTCCCTGTCTCTCTCTCCAGCAAGCACACATGCCCTGGTTAAATAAATAAGTAGAATCCTCTCACTGGTTTTTTTTTTTTTTTTGAAGGTTTTTGCCATAGGGTGCATGCACTTGCCAGAGAGAGACTGAGAAAATGAGAAATCACCACCCAGAGGGGACAGCCACACCATAATCCCTTCTCTTCCATTTTCCTCTTAGGATTTTGGGCATGCATGTACATGTGCCCAGAGTGATTTTCAAGATAAGCCACAAGGCCTGAGGACTCAAATCATGGTCAGTCATGTAGGAATCCAGCTCCTTATCCACCAAGCCACCTGTTGGACGCTCTCATAGACTTTTACAAAAGACCCTCAGCCAGAAAACTCAGGGAACAAAAAAACAAAGTTCAGAAAGGCACTACGCAACTACGCCTGGAACATGGGTACTCAGTGAGTGGATTAGAACATATTGAAAGATTTCAGAATATTACCTGGTCACTGCTATTACCCCTTCCCCTCCGTTCCAATATGTATACCAGCCTGCAGGTGTTCAACTTCAAGTACAGGAAAAGAAGCTAACATTCTTACAAAATTACTGCAGGTCCTTAGGTTAGAGACTTAAACTACTACAGGATGAGTAAGACAAAAAATAAATTGTATGTGACTAGCTCATAAGAATCAGGAAGTGTTAGTACAAAATGAAACCTTAGTTAGCATTGTGATGGAATACTCATAAATTTTAAAACAACAGATAATGTTATTTAGTGAACACCATGCTTAAGCAAAAGTTAGTATTCTCTGCAAAGTCAAACGACATAACAAAATGCAGGCAGAGCAGCTACATTCAATGCACATTACCCATGGTTATCCTGAGACTCACACACCACCTGTCTACACTCTACCATGCTATTAGCACCTATCAAGAGGGGTGGACCTAACAGGAACTAGGAATGAACAGGAAGGTGTCAAAAAGATACACACTCGTGACTTTCCAAGGATCTGGGGTTTTTTTGGTTTGTTCTGTTTTGTTTGTTTTTTTTTGTTTTTTACATTATCTATACCTCCATGGAGATCTTCCCTCTGTGGGAGCATGGGTAAAAAGTTGAATATATTTTAAATTATCCCAATATACTTTCGATGTGGCTTTTTATAAAATGGATAATATACTAATATCCTTATGGTTTTATTTCTTTAATTTATTTCTTTCTTTTTTACCATGAGCTGAGATCAGACAACTGTGCGGCCTCCGGAGACAGCATGTTGGTAGCGCCTTGGGAGAGTCTCTTGGGCTGGCTTTCTGCCTCCATTTCACCTAAAACAGAAAGGGATAATGTTGCTGTGAAATAATTTTACTACTATAGATTTAGTGCTAAAATGAGGTGATCTTTGTTTACTGAAAAAAAGCTAAAAAAATTTTTTCAAGCCACTACTTAAAAGCTATTTTTCCAGGGACCAGTAGTTGGCGTAATGACTATGTCACTGGACTCCCATGTAGTCAACCACAGTTCGAGTCCCAGACCCTGTGGCTTAAACTCACGCCAGGCGCGTGTGCATGTGCCCAAGATCCTGAGAGGAGAATGGAGGGAAAGGGATTGTGACAGGGCCCCCGGGGAGTGATTTCTCACTTTCTGTCTCTCTGTCTCTCTCTGTCTTTCTGGCTGGTTCACGCACCCTATAGCAAAAACCTCTTAAAAAAAAAAAAAGCTATTTTTTCCGTGTGCTTTATACATAAAGAAATATGCTTCCACATAACTTTAACCAAAAAGTTAGCAACCCTAAAAAACTTCTCACTCATTTTATGTGGCATGCTATGAATATATTCAAGTTCTTTTATAAATAGTAGAACAGAGATTTCATCAGGTAAAATGAATCAAAGTTAACTATGGTGGAAATGAAGTATTCCCAAACAGTTGAAGTTCACAATGAATAATATTTTATGCTAGGCAGTGAGCAAAAACTACTCATTTTATATATTTTAATATCTGAACATTTCCTGAGATGACATTAGGTGGGCCAAAAAATGTGCAGTAGGATCAACACTGTACAAAAGGCTGCTTTATACTATTAAGTGAAAATGAAGATGAAAAATAGAAGTTCGAGGGGCCAGTAGGTGGTGTGCTGATTAAGGCACTGGACTTGCACATGGCCAACAGTAGTGTGAGTCCCTGACTCAATGGGCTTGAAAATAACTCCAGGTCCATGTGCATGCATGCTCAAAATCCTGAGAGGAGAATGGAGAAGGGACTGCAAAATGGCCACCTCCTCAAGGGAGGTGATTTCTCACTTTGCCACTGTCTGTCTGTCTCGGGAAAGCACATGTACCCTATGGCAAAAACCTTAAAAAAAAAGTGTGTGTGTGTGTGTGTGTGTGTGTGTGTGTGTGTGTGTGTGTGTGTGTGTGTGTTCGAAAGCATACTTGTAACTGAAAACAATTACTACTCAAGTCACAAAATCAGTACAGTACTACTTTAATTCTATAGATTTTCTCATATCTGGTAATAGAACAACTCTGCACCAATAGGAATGATGTTGAATTGAACATTTTGCCACCAGAAGTACAAAGACTAACAACCTTATGTGAGAAAAAAGCCCCTACACCAAAATAAGGTATGATGTTATTTAAAACATGCATATGCCTTGGTTTGAACCTCTTTCAACTTGAAAATGGAATATTAAAAACAATGTAATTTGCAGGCCTATGTCTACTCCAATAGGAAATCAGTAACTCTGAATTTAACTTTTTAAATTTTTATTACCACAGAGCACATGCATTCACCAGAGAGAGAGAGAGAGAAGGAGGGGGAGAAAGCACCCCCAAACAGAATATGGTCACGCTGCAATTCCTTCTCCTCCAGTTCTCTGTCCTGTCAGGATTTTGAGCATGCACACATAAGTGCCTGGCAGGATTCAAACCATAGTTAGTCATATGGGATCCAGCTCCCTTAACCACTAGGTGACAGGCCAAAGACCTGAATAAGGTTTATATGATGGGAAAAAAATCAAGCAAGAACAAATGTAAAATTCATTACTTCATATTATCAATTAATTTTTCTCTTTTCTCTGGAGCTATTCTGAAAATTTTTGAAATTCAGGAAAAGCTTGAATTTCATCTGCTTTTTCCATATTTTAATATGCAACTTGTTAAAAGTTGCTTCTGGGTTTTCGATGCCACCTCACTAGCAAAAAATTTCAACTGTTTTTAAGCAAAGAATTCCTCCATCTGCTGGTATATTTTGGAATAGCTATGAAACTAAACAATCATACTAATTCCATTGACTTTCACAACAATTTTTAAGTTAATAATAACAATTACCTCTTTTCTGAGTGTAATTTTCACTGAATAGTTCCTGTGAATATTACTAGGATTGTAAATAACTCCTTGCAAGATTACAGATAAGGACTGCTTGTAAAATAAAACATATTCACTAAAATACAGATGTCAGCATATCAGGATCTATTTTCCAGGGCACACCATCTTTAAGGTGTCTGAAATACAACACTTTTTGAATCTGTTTTTGAGCCTATGACGAAAGTTTTCACCAAAACCACATATCTATAAGGAGAGTTGATTTGTTTACAGGCCCTGGAAGTAATAGGCACACACACAAAAACACATTGAGTTGCTTTTTCCTCATTAAAACTCGTTTAAAATGACATCCTGTACTTGCAGTCATAACCACAGGAATAAGGATGAAATCTGTGTTAAATTTCTTTGCCTTTTTCAAAAAACAGATGCCATTAAGTACCCTCTATAAACATCTAAAACTAACGTTGATTGAGACAATTTTAGTTTAGTGATTTGCAATTCAAAGGTAAGGTGACCACCTTGTTCTACCAGAAAGCCTACAGACTTGAATATAAGTTAATTCTTCCTTGCTGAGACACAATTTGGCGATGAGGGGAGAGTACCTCACCTTATATTTGAACATACAGACATTAGCATATATTTCTGCAATGTACCAGATATACAGCTCTTATAGTCGCATCACTGAGAGGCAAAAGTTTTGGAATATATCTTGATAATATCTTGAATAAAATTCAGTTATGAACTGTAAGAAAATATAGATAGTATCAAATAACTAATATATAAAATCTAGAATCGGTAGAGCATACATTGGGAACAATACTTCCTATTTCTTGAGAGAAAAGGAGAGCAATGCCATGAGCTAATTTCAGATAGAAAGTCTAGGTTTTAATTCAAGCTTGGCCAGGTTTAATATCAGAAGTGTGATACATATCTTTTCTTTTTTCTCACTTATTGAGGTATAGCTAACACATACATTTGGATATATTTAAGGTATATGGTATAATGATTTGATTAATGTACACATGAAATGACCACAATCAGGTTGGTTGATATGTCTACCACCTTGCCTATAGTTCCCTGTGTGTGTGTGTGTGGGGGGGTAAGAACATTTAAGATAACATTTAAGATCTACTGCCTGGGACCAGCAGTTAGCATAATGGCTATGTCGCTGGACTCCCACGTAGTCGACTGCAGTTTGAGTCCCGGACCTGGTGGCTTAAACTCACGCTGGGCACGTGTGCATGCGTGCCCAAGACCCCAAGAGGAGAAGGGATTGTGGAGTGGCCATCCGCTCTGGGTGGTGATTTCTCACTTTCTGTCTCTCTCTGTCTTTCTGGTTGGCACATGCATCCTATAGAAAAGAAAAAAAAAAAAAGATCTACTGCCCTAGCAAATTTCAAGAATACAATGCAGTATGGTTAATGATGGGCACCGTGCTACTACATACCTTTTCTTTTAACAGGACAAAGAACACTGGGCTTGATGCACCTCACTAGACTCTGACTCCGCCTGCTTTGATGAATAAACAAATAGGATGACATTCAGTACTTCCAAGATGCAAGATAAGGAGTCTCCCAAATAAATAAACAAAACTGACACTTATATACAGAGAAATGGAAACTGGCTACATCACAGGCTGAGTAACTGGAATGCTGATACACGATAGGACCCGGTATATGACAATCTGGAAGAACACAACATTTTAAGGCATTTTAAAATATCATTCTGGGGGGACCGGCAGGTAGTGCAATGGCTATGTCGCTGAACTCCCACGTAGTCGACCACAATTCGAGGTCAGATCCGGTGGCGCATGTGCGTGTGTGCCCAAGATCCCGAGAGGAGAATGGAGGAGAAGGGACTGTGGTGTGGCCATCTCCCCTCGGGGGTGATTTCTCCCTTTCTGTCTCTCTGTCTCTCTCTGTCTTTCTGGCTGGCGCACGTGTCCTATAGCAAAAATCTCTCTCAAAAAAAAAAAATCATTCCAGAAGATGAATTAGCAATTTAAAGAAAAAGTTGTCTCATTTAAAAGTTATTTGGATTATGACTAGTCTATAATCTTAGAAAACTGTTTGCCCTATCCTTAAAAAGGATCTTTTATTAGGGCCAGCAGGTGTAGTAGTGGTTAAGGCGCTAGACTCCCACATGGCCAACTGCAGTTTGAGTCCCAGACCTGATGGCTTGAAAATCACATTGTGTGTGAGTATACCCAAAATACCAAGAAGAGAGTAGAGAAAGAGAAAGGATTGCAGTGTGGCCATACCCCCAGGAGATAATTCTCTCAATCTCTCTCTCTGTCTCTCTTCAGCAAGAGCACATACCCTATGGCAAAAACCTAAAAACAAAAAAAATCTATTAAAATCTATTGTCATATGTGTGTCTGTGTGTCCCCCCTCTGAATATAAATCAGAACTGTCCCCCAAAAAGAAAGAAAGAAAGAATCTGGTAAAATGTGGACTGTCTCAAAAAAAAAAATCTTGTAAAATGTTAATGGTAGACTACCAGGAGACTTAAAAAAATTCATGGAAAAATGAAATTTAACTATGAGCCTGTTTTATGCAAAAAGATTCTGAAATCCACACATAGACTCTTCATAATACACATTCCCTTAAACTTTTTGCAGAACACTTGTATAGGCGATGAGTATGTGGCATTTGCTGTGACATTCTTTCAGTTTTGCGCTATGCTGGAACATTTCCATAATGAAATATTGGAACAAAAGTTAATCGGAGAGACAAATGTAATAAGTGGCACTTCAACCACATTTAAATTCAAGTTTGCTTACCTTGAAAATCGTCTTGGACTAGACACGGGACTCGATGGCAAACCACTGCCATTCACAAACATTTGCCGGGATGGTGAAAAGCATTGCTAGAAAAACATATTTAATATTAAAATAGTTCTAGCACCTCAATTTTCAAAAGGTCATTTTCAAAATGACAGACACAACGTCCTTAGAATTGCTTAGCTCCCTTTGTGTTTATATATACTGTATATATACTACTAGGTCGTCAGGAAATTCATGATGTGTTTTTCTATGCAAAAATGTGCCATACTTTTCAGACATAGATCTTCATTGATTTTCCTTCAAGTCATTGGGTACTTTACAAGTTAGGTGATTTGTATACATGTGCTTTGGAGAGTAAATATCTTGTCAATGGTCTTACCTTTCCAAATCCTCTGGTGGGAGAAGGTGCTGGAGAAACTGGAGTGAAGTCAATTCTCTTAGGAGAATATAATTCCTCTGGCATGTCAAAATCACTATCGCTCTGTAAACATAAAGTGTTATCTCTTCATAACCATTCAGCACATTGCAGTTCTTATTTACTACCGTAATACACTAATATTTTAGAGGAGAATATATAGATTCTAATATGCTCCTAGAAAAGCAGAGATAAAAAACTGAGTATCAATTTAGAAGCAGAGGGTACAGATGTGCATGAAAAAAATTAATGTAAGTCAGTGAACAAAACAGAGGTTTCTGTAAAAAAAATTTTTTTAAAAAGCAGACATGCACAAACTTTACCAGGCTCAAGCTCTCATCCCATGACTGGCTCATCTGCACTGCCGTTTGTATTGCTCTAAAACAAACAAAACGAAAAGCCATCAGTATTTACAAACATGACATATTAGACTAGGCCCTACTCTTGCAAAGCACTAACCTTTCATGTGCAGTTTTTCTCTTCATTAAATCCAGGCCTTCTTCCTGCAGAAACAAACATAGGTACTAATAATGCAATTTTTATCCATGTAGTTGTCCATTTCAAATAAAACGAAAATACTTTTCTACCTCATTTGACATCACAGAAGAGCAGAACTAACTTTCTAAGACAGTCACCAAAGCCACATCTATACTTTATCTCCAAATTCAGAAGAATTTTAATGTCTCCAACTACCCAGAGTTGTATCCTGACTCAATTTTACTCTCTGAATTTTCAAAATTAAAATTAAAATTAAAAATGTAAAATAAAAAAATTCAGATCTCAGCTAGTAAGAAAATTTTACCCTTTTGATTTGGTGCAGTCTGCTATTAGGAATATGATTAGGTAAGGATGACAGCAACTGGAAAAAGAAAGTAGACATTTACTCTTTTCTGAATCACAAAGTAGCAGTCTGCTGCCAGTACTGGTTGGTCTTCTTAGACCATTTTTCACATCCTTCTTAGAAATTGAGCTCTTTAAATCATTGAACATTAATACACTAGTCGGTACATTCAGTCTTTAGAAAGTACACCAGGTGTCCAACCTCAAAGCACCATCTGTCGCTAGACAGGCACTGACTTTAGCACTTTTCCCAAATCAATGTGGAACTGTGTGAATTTGGGGGAAAAAATACTCTGGCCCTTGGAAATATCCATTATCTCACTTACCTAGTATAAGGAAGTATATAAAAAGGTAAATAAAGAACACCTATGTTGTTGTTATCACCACTATACTAACAGAAGAAGAAAGGCTAATGAGCCCAGTATATTTTGTCTGTGATTAATGTTTATCAAAAACACTTTAAAATGGCAATATGAAGACTCTTCTTATGTGATCTAAGCCAACCCTAAAATTGGATCACTAATACTATCACCACAAACCTTACTAATTAAATTAAAACTAATATGAAAGCTAAGATGTATTTTTAAAATAACTCTGGCTTTCCTTGATTGTCACTTTTAAAAAATGACAAAAAGTTAAGGACCAGCAGATGGTATAATGGTTATTTTGCTGGACTCCCACATAGTTGACCACAGTTCGAGCTCCAGACCTGGTGGTTAAAACTCACACTGGGCACATGTACAAGCATGCCCAGGATCCCAAGAGGAGAATGGAGGAGAGGGGACTGCGGTGTGGTTGAAATAATTTGAGGGATAACTATGTTCCTTCAAAATAATCACAATCTTGGGACCAGCAGGTGGCGTGGTGGTTAAGGCGCTGGACACTCCCACATGGTCAACCACGGTTCAAATCCTGGACCTGGTGGCTTGCTTTCTCACTTTCTCTCTCTCTTTCTCTGTCTCTCTCTGATCAAATGAAATGAATGAATAAATAAAGTTAAATAAATAATTCTTTTAAAAAAAATCATCACAATCTTGTCACAAAAATGTTGTGACCCAAGTAGCAACAGATATGTATAGGGGGTTCTAATAGCCATAATATAAACTATTATTTATTCCCTAATGAACTATAAATGAACTTGTAATACCACATAATCAAATAAGATGATTATTGTTAGAGAGGTCCTATGCTATTGAAACATTTACTGCTAATGCAGTAAGCAGTATAAAATGGAAATAAACTGCTCTAAATTTTTTCAGGCAAAAGCTTATTCAGGCAAAATTGTAAAAAGCTACCCACCAAAATATGATCTTACCTTGAAATGTACCCTTCATTATCCACCCCCCCCCCTTTCTTTTGGCCTTTCCTAGGCTTTGAAAAGAGAGGCTGGAAGACACAGAGAGGAGATAAGAGACTGAGAATTGACAGGAGAGTCCGAAAACGTGTGAACCATTAGGGAGAAAGGCCACATGTGAAGGTAAAGACAGCTCAAGGAGCAGAAAGCCGACACACAAAATAGGTGTCTGTCTTCTCTGTGAAGTGAGAAGGGTCATCTGCTGAAAAGTAAAAAGTGGTGAGACAGGAAGCTGGTAGAGTCTTTAAAAATTAGAATAGGGCCAACCAGTGACATGGTGATTAAGGCAGCTGGATCCCCCGTGGCTGACTATGTGATCTACATCCCAGACCCGGTGGCTTGAAAAGCACACCAGGTGAGTGAGTGCATGCTCCAAATCTTGAGAGAGTGGAGAAGGAGGAATTACAGCATGCCCATGCTGCCTGGGGGGTACTTTCTCATTTTCTCTTTCTCTCTCTGGTGAGCACACACATCCTATAGCAAATTTTTAAAAAAATAGAATATCGTATTGGAGAATGGCATGGGGCCAGCAGCACCTGGAGGCCAACGCACCCCAAAAGGATTCATCTCTTTCTCTTGCAAGCTATGACCCTCTTGATTCCTCTATTCCCAGTAAAGGCAACACCAGTCTCCTGGTCACCAAGAAACAAAAGGTCAGTCTCCTGGAATCCTCCTTCTCCCTTCCCCTACAAATCAGTTGGCAAATCATGAAGTTCCTATTTCTGCTCGTCTCTTTCACAGTCCCTTCCTTTCTATTTCATTCACCAACACCTTACTCTTTGCAGGTTACTATGGGACACAGATAAGCATAGTAAGATATAAAGAGTACACTGTGATATAACGTATTTGGTGTAATTAATATTGTGATAGTTGTGGAAGCCTGCCCAGAGGAGATATAAGGATTAAACAGAGGTCTGAAGGACCAGAAAGCTTGAAAGGAGAAGGGGGTGGAGTAAAGGACAGCAAATGACCAGCAAAGAGCAGTGAATCACCAAGGTTCCTCCTGAAAATGAGATATTTTAGTGCAGCCAGAGCCAAGTGTATTTGTCAGAAAATAGTGACAGATGAGCCTAGGCCAGAGCTGATAAGAATCTTCACATCGTACAAGAGGTTAAGTGAAGTGGAGAGGCAAATTCATTTTTTCCTTCTTTGCTATGCTACTGTTATCAAGAGCACAGCTGTATAGCACATATAAACATTTTTCATACATCCAGCAAAAATAAGTAGTTCTATTTTCCAGGATCCTTCAGGGAGGAGGTGAAGTGAATCAAACCTCCAGATAGCTAACATTTTCCCCTCTAAGTATTTTTAGCCACTTCAGCTGGAAATCTTCTATAACGTGTTATATTTTCCCTTTCTTAAACAGATCATACAAACACAATGGCACTGGAAGATCTCTGTTCGAATCTCAGTGTTGCCACTTCCTAATTGTGTGATTCTGAGCAAGTCGCTTGTCTGGAATGAGTCTCAGCTGCTGCCTCATTTAACTGGGGAAAATCTTTTGGCCTGTGTGCTTCGTTTGTTATGGGAATTAAATGTGTAAAAGTACCCTGTAACATGTAAAATATCACACGGGTGTTGGTATTGCTAGGTTTTAAGAAAAAATTAACAATCCGGGTTTCTTAAGGACATAAATTGTTACATGGTTCTAAACCAGTGACCTCCTCAGACTCTAGTAACAGACTTTTAGCCTTTATACTAAGCCACAAACTAATTTTTTAAAAACCTCTGTCTACCCGCACCCTATAGCAAAAACCTTAAAACCAAAATAAAAAAACAAAACAAAACAAAAAAAACCTGTCTGCTTTTCAGTGTTTCCCTTTCTTCCTTTCTAGGAGCTTTAAGTACATCTTTATCCCAAATGGACCTCTTCTGGTTTGCTGCTTCTCACACACTTTTGGGTTGGAAGCTTATTATAATTATGCATATATATGAGATGATTCAGAGGCTCTCTATAAATACACTGATGAACCCTATGGAAATCTAGTCCAGCCATTTCCAAGCCTGCATGCTTACTCCTCAGGTGCTTTCCAGACACCTGAAGCTGGTGGATAACTGAGCTCCATATGTGAATGGCTATCACACAAAAACCTTGTCACAATTTCTCCTAGTGCCACCAATTAATAAGGTGATCCCCGACAACTCTGGCTATGGAAAACAGTTCAAACTGGCAAGTCTTCTGAGGATATAAATACAAGCATTTTAAAGGAGTATTGACTTCGGAAAACCAGCATCATCCAACAGGTAGTGTCAGAAACAAACACTCTGCTACCGTTTAAGCAAATTTGACATCCTGGACAAGCAAGACCACTGTTCTCAGCTATAATTAGAAGCTCATCCTGACTTACCTCCTAGCCACGATGCAAGCAAGGACAAATAATAATGAACAGTTTTTAAAGTACAAACTCCCACGGCAAAGACAATTGTTTAACCAGGTCTTCTTTTTTTGTACCAAATGCCTGAATGGCCACAGTATTAAGTGGTAAATAAGAGAGGGAAAATAAATCTTTTGTTTTTTAAATCCTTATGCACAGCACATAGGTTTTAGGGGGGGGGGACTACATTTGAAAGCATCTTCCTCAAACCAAATCACTTCAAATCCTTCCTTCCATACTCACCAAGCTGTGATGGCTCATAATCGTTGCACTATTCCTCTGGGTTCTAAAAGTGTAAGGTTGAAAAACCTGTGAAAGATCACTGAAAGATGAAAAGAAAAATTACTGTTGTCTAGTCGAAGATGTCTCTCAAATACACTAGCACCAATGCTCTATTGAGCAAACAGGTTAGCATCAACTCTCTAGTTAAAATCTTCGATGGCTCCTCATTTCATACAGAGAATAAACTCACCGTCGTCTTCACAGTCTCCTGACTGGGGTACCGACGGTTCCCAGTTTACCAAGAGACTGGCCTCTTCGGTGGTTGGGGGGCAGCTCAGAGAGGTGAAGGGCAGAGCTCCAGACTAGTTCCCTCCAGATTCTTCTGATCAGAACTATGCCCCTAAACCAGTTAGCACCGGTCTCCAGCAGCCTCTTCTGTTTACCTCAGAAGACTTACAAGTATTACCATTTTCTGTACGCACCACCACACGGAAAGGGCTGGGGAGCCCTGTTCTACAAAATGCACCCTCTCAACACGTCTCCACTCTTCCCCTCTGCACGTTTCCTACCTCTGAACCTGCTGCTAAATGAATGAAACATACCTGAACATACCTGGAGTTTTGCTCATGTTGCCTCTTTTGCCTCAAATGCCTTCCCCTATACTTCCTACCATCAGTCAAAATCCGTCCTCTCCTTCCACACTCATCAGAAATGCCCTGTCCTTCTTGAAGGCACAAACTTCTCTTCATTCATTCCACAAACCTAATGCAATCACTCCATCCTTTGAACCCACAGAGCACACTGGGAGATGAGATGCTTTCTGAGACACCTACTGTACCTTGTATTAAATAAATGTGCATGTGTGCTAAACCCCTTGGTACAGAGGTGTGTGATTCCTCTCTGTTTAATATTCCTGCAGAACCTAGGAGATAGCCCCATGATATGAGCTCAAGAACAACTTTCAAAACAGAATTGGATTGGGCTTTAAGGGACCACTGAGATCACCTAACTTGGCTCTCCTAGTTTTTAAATGAGAAAACAGAGACTCAGGATGGTTAACCGATTCACTCATGATCATGGCTCGTGAAAACTGGGAACAGGTCTGGTCTCCTTTCCCCTTTGTCTGTCACACCATGCTATCTTTCAAATGATTACTTAAGTCAACATTCAAAAAAAAACAGGATGTTTTTTTCTGCAATAGTCTAAATGCAGGTCAGTAAGATCGCCGGAGTTTCTAGCAAGTACTTGCTTACTAGATTTTAAAAATGCAACGGAAAGAGAGAGAGCGAGCTAGAGACCAGTTTATTATTAAAAGTGTTAAAAATAAATGTAGGGCCAAGGACAGCACTGGGAAAACAAAAAGTCATTCGATTATTCCATTTTGAAAGTATATTTCATAAAATAAACAAGTAAACCTGTTTTTCTCCAAAATATAGATGTTATTACCAGTCTGATAGACAATAATTATCTTTCTTTGCCTTCGCTATGCTTGATTAGTATGTTGTTGGCAAATTCCACTCCCATCCCTTTTTAGACTAATGCCATTTGAATAGGGGTCTCACGAATTGGCACTCTACCTAAGCTGAACTGTCTGCTTATAAAAATGAAATGCAACAGGCTCAGGAGGTGAGCCAAACTTCACTATCACAAGATCCTGCCTTCAAATAGACTCTCTGGGACTTATTCATGTGAAAACACAAGACCCGGCCACTAAAATTCAAGATCTGAGGGGTTTTCTTTCCGTTGTTTGTTTTCATTCAGGAAATACTTCTTGCATACTTACTTCTACCAGTCACTGGTCTAGGTGCTAGAAATGTAGCAATAAGTAAAATTCTAAAACCTGTGTTTCCACTGACCTAAGCTACTGGCTACCATTCTTTTTTTAATCACTGAACTGTATTTCACATAGTTTTAGACTCTGAAAACACTATGACAAATCTAAATCACTTATTGTGATGTCAACACGCCATTTAATTGAAGTCATTAGGTCAACTGTGATTTATTAAAGTCAGCCTCATGTTAAAGTCAGAGTTCCTAAACTAAGCTTAGAAATAGCAGCTCTTAGAGACAGGTGTCAAGTTGCAAGTCTAGTTCCAGGGGCTTCGGTCTGACATTCCATGGTGTGTATATCAGGCAGGACGTGCAACCTGTCTGAAGAGCCAGCAGCTTTCTGCAGTCCCTTTCGGAGCGGGACAGCTCAGCTCCAGGTAGAGGAGTCCCTGTTTCCCCCACACACCCTGCCCAGAGTTTGGGCTCAAACTTCCACTCCACCACGGGACCCAAGTCACTGTGAAGCAAACGTGTCCTCACCGCTCATTTTCGAGAACCCACAAGAGCTTGAGCTTGCACTTTGGGGAAGGAAGGCTGCTTGCACCAGGTCAAGGAGCCCCTGAACCCTGTACTCCATCCTCCCCAACCCTGCTCACCTGAGCCCACGGATCAGGGGAGCACTTCTGGATCGCCTCAGGGTGACCCCATCAGATGTGTCAGGCCCAGAGTACAGGCCCATTTTCTCCTGAGCCACGCCGGAGACTCTCAGGCAGGCACAGCGGGCAGTGCTTGGCTCCTGGTGCTTAGCTATGGACTCCCAAGACAAAAAAAGGAGAGGATGGAGAGACTGTAGTAGAGGGTGACAGAAGGAAGAGGACAGAGGAAAGAGGGATGGGGAAGACAAAGGTGGAGGAAGGAGAGAAAAGAGAAAGACGGAGAGAAAAAAGGTAGACGAAAAAGCAAGAGGGCAGAGAGGAGGTGGGCAGAAGGGGAAAAGCAAAAGGGGGCCAGAGGGGCAGGAGGCGAGAAAGGAGGACCAGGCGTGGGCAAGAGGAGAGAGGGAGGAGGGCAGAGGGAGAAGAGAAGGAGAGGGAGGAAACTAGGCAGCGGCGGAACTCAGGCTGCTATCTTTCTGGCCGACGACCGCAAGCGGGGCCCGGCTACAGCTGCTGTGGCTGGCCGGGGCGGGCGCGGCCCGCGGGCCCCACAGGCT